AGCCCTGGCAGTTAAGGGAAATTGTACCCTGGTAGAATTATGATTTACATTATGTCGATAAAAGCGTAAAACGTTTGCAATTATTTGCATTTTATCCTGCTCAAGCATCAAGTATTGAACCAGTTGGCCTTGTTTCCACCCTGTGATAAAATTATGCTCTCTTTGGAATATGTGACCTTTTTTTTAAGGCTGGCCGTTTATTTGATTTAATGTATGAGTGTCGGTGTTTGATTAAGAGAATTAAATGATTTTGAGGAGCAAACGAAAGAGAGAAAGGGACTGAGAGAGAGAGGGGGGGGGAGATATGTTATAAATTCACACTCTTGATAAAATGCTCATTATGTGATGTTCTTGAAGGCTGGCTGTCTAATTGTGCGACAGGTGATTTGTGTGAGAGCGAGAGTATGATTTTGCAGGAGCGAGGGAGAAATAAAGAGAGAAAGAGAGAGAGAGAGAGAGAGAGAGAGAGAGAGAGAGAGAGAGAGAGAGAAAGAGAGAGAGAGAGAAAAGGGAGAGAGATATATTATAACGAGAAAAATATGACTGCACGTATTATGTTTCTGTAAAATTATATTGTTATATCTATGCTCTCTGTATATGTTTTTGTATACACCTGTACATGTTATACATAATTCGCTCGCTGATTTATTCCCTCATTCTTTATTTTACGTACCCGTAAACCCAAGCCAAAACTTTTATGTAACGATTCCGTGTTGGAAGAAGTCATTCGCCAGTCACACACTGTCTGTGTACGATGCACTCACTAATTCTCCTCTTTGCACCTTCTTTCCTACCTAAAACCTTCCTCATCTCTCATTATTTTTTTTTGATTGGTTGCTTTGTTGCGTTTTTTGTTTGTTTATTTTTGTTTTGTTTTTGTCTTTTGTTGTTGTTGCTGCTTTTTCTTTTGGTAACACTTCTAATCTTCGGCACTTTCATGACCTTATTGTGTTGCAAGTGCCGTAAAGCTTTTTCTAACGTTGTTTTTTTTACCCCCCCCCCCCACTCCAATACCCTCCGAGGAGGCTGGCGCATACTCTTTGAATATCTGTTCTCTGTGATCTGAAATAATTGTGTCACGATGCGGTGGAATCGGGCGCTCGTCAATTGTTTGACATGTGAAGTTATAGGTGTCATCTCAAAACTTCTTCGGTTTTTTTTGTTTTTATTTGCTTTAGCTGAACTAAATACCCATAATAGAAGTCGAAATCATATTTGAGATTGAATGAGATGGGGGTCGCCTAGTTTCAGAGGCAAAATAATGGAAAATGACCTCCAAAGCTTGATGACTTCCATAGCTTGAAAGTCCTCGAAAACTGAAATTTTACTTTTTTTTTGTTCCTTAAACCGACGTTTTCAGTAAAAATCCATACAGAAATGTTTAATGAACATAAAAGGTGCTGGGCTAAAAACAAAAATTAAAAGAAAATTGCCAAAGGCGCGAAAAAGTGCTGGTTTCTTCTATTTCAAACTTTTGACAAGAGCCTGGTGTCACCACAATACCTTGCAAATGTGTTGATTGTTTTACTGTCGTTTACACCGTGCTCAAACTCTCACCCGAAACGTGTCTTTTTTATAACACAGTGACAAATTCACCTCGAACTAATATATTTGTTTATTTTATTATTATAATTCATAGTATTTTAACCACTCGCTTAAAACGCACAAATATTATATTATTAAACGCTGACTATAGCAAAATCTATTCATCTCACATAGACCAACGTTTCTGTTGTATTCGATTTATGCACGTATTATTATTCTGTGTACGTCTGTTAAAGCTTTGAAAAATGCACGCACTTATGCGTTTATTTCTCGAACAAAACCCTGCTCAAAATGCTGAAATAGTCATGAATAATATTGAGTTTGAATTATTATTCTCTTGCTTCACCCCCTAGCCGGAACAGACAATGTTTTATTGATTCTTCCATGGTGATGTTTTGACTGCATCAGTGTTTATGTCCCGCTGCCGCCATTATGCCTTAGCAACACCAGGCTGTGTTTCCATACTGCTTGGCAACAAGTAATGAGGACTCTCCTCGCCAAAATTATATCTCCTTTCTCTTTCTCACTTTCTTTATTTCTCTCTTTTACTTTTATATCCTTTCTCTCTCTCTCTCTCTCTCTCTCTCTCTCTCTCTCTCTCTCTCTCTCTCTGAACGTTTAGCCACTACAGTGTGAATATTATTCTCTGTATGTAATTCGATTCCCCGTTACCCTTAAAACGAGAGGTTAATTTGCTGACCTCCCATTCTATTTTTTCATAAATTGAACTGTTTTTCTTTAAACATTTTAATATACGTCGCAACATCCCTCTATAGCTTGTTCACTTTCCCCTGTCGGCGTTAAAAATGGGATAAAAACAAATCGCTTTAGGTCTTTGCACGCGGGTCTAAAGTTTGGGTGACCAATAGAATTTTAAAGCCCAATTAATATAATATGTCACAGCAAAATAAAGTTGTTACACAGTGTCTTAGATGTTAGCCTATAATGGGTAAAA